AACCCTTTTAAAACCCGAATATTCACAATAACCCCGTTCCACAGGTACTTGTAAACACCGCCAGAAACCCGGATATGCTCATAACCGGGTTTTTAAAAACCCGGTTACTGCACCTGGGGTAACCCTTTTCTAACCCGAATGTTTGGTCATGTAAACGCATGCCGGGATATCCCCATCAAAGCGTGTGTTCTGCGCATGCTCTGTTCGCAAGGAATCTTGGTCTTTTGAGTAGCGAGACGTCTTGTATGCGCCAGAACACTGGAAGTAAACAACAAGTTGGGAGCAAAATGGCGAGTCGTGGCACAGCACCACACTTTCGGAGTGACGAGGAAACTAAAGCACAAACAAACACGGTCGCTATCTCTTCCGAACTGGGAAAAATTTTGTTGTTTTCACGGATACCGGAACAAGAAGAACCGGAAATGACGCATATTGCGTCTGGACGTAGTCCAAATGTCCTGACGCTACCCCAACGTCCGCATTTACATCAGGTTATGCAAGTTAGGGGTAACTCTTTCTATTTGTGCTTGTAAACAGGTTATTCTGATCAACTCAGAAACCCGAATGCCGACCTTAACCCGATCATAACCCGGATATTGGCTGCATGTAAACTTAGTCACTGAGTTGATGTGAGCCTCAAATGTAAGTCCAGCATCAAGTTTCACTCCCAGACTGGTAACAACTGGTTTTGAGTAGGGAGAAAGAGGGCCAAGATCAACATAACGGCCCACATTCCTGCTGTTGGGGTGAAAAACAATGAGCTCTGTCTTTCCCTCATTCAGATGCAGATAGTTGGCCATTAGCCAAGACTTCACCTCATTAATACAGGACACAAAGGACTGGATAGAGTGACCTTTCTCCTGACACAATGGAGAGTAAATCTGGCAATCGTCAGCATAGAGATGGAATGATAGGCCATGTTCACGAAAGATTGACCCCAGAGGTAGCAGATAAATGGCAAACAAAAGAGGACCAAGGATCGATCCCTGCGGGACCCCCAGCGGAGCCCCTCCCAAGAAGAAAAAACATCACCCAGTTTAACGCAGAATTTCCTGTTGTGGAGATATGATCTAAACCAATCCAGAGCAGACCCTTTGATCCCAACCCATCGTTCCAAGCGATCGAGTAGAATCGCGTGGTCAGCTGTGTCAAAGGCTGCCGTCAGATCTAACAACAGAAGCACCACAGATGTACCCTGATCTAGTGATAGATAGATATAATTTAAGACCCTCAGTAGAGCTGACTCTGTGCTATGGGCAGACCTGAACTCTGATTGGAAAATCTCAAACAGATCAGAGTCAGCTAAATGTGAGACCAGCTGCTGATAAACGACTTTCTCAAGCAGTTTTGATGTAAAAGGCAGGGTAGAGATAGGCCTGTAATTTGTGATCACAGAGACATCAGCACCAGGCTTCTTCAGGGTCGGCCGAATAACTGCTGCTTTCAAAGCAGCTGGGACCACACCTGTGCTGAGGCTCCCATTGATAATCTGACCAAGTGAAGGGTCAAGGCATGGAAAGTCAGCCTTCCAGAGACGAGGCATCAGAACGTCAAGTGGAGAGCCAGATGGCTTCTGCCTCGCAACAAGCTTACTCAGCTCAGAATATGAAATATTATTGAGGGAGCTCAGGGTGGGTGGTGATGGAGGAACTGGAACAGTGTCAATAAAGTTACCGGAAATAGCTGCTCTAATGCCTGATACTTTATGAACAAAGAATCTGTGAAAAGCTTCAGAGTTTCCAGCAGCTGTAGGAGACATGAAGCTAGGTTCCTGATACACCAGAACTGAGTTTAGTGTTTTGTAGAGAATCTTAGGATTATTGGAGTTTGTTTTGATGATGTCTGCAAAATAGGCCGTTCTGGCAGCCCTTACAGCATCCTGATAAGCAACCAGTGATGCTCTGAACAACTCACGCGAGACCTGTACAGTGTTGCCAGATCCAAAATCCCACAATATCGTACAGAGAGGCCTAAATTACCGTTTTTCAGTACAAATTATTGTACATTGTAAATTTGATAATAACGTTCTATAAACGACTTCTCACTCCCATATAATATAACAAAGAAGGTGTTTTATATTGACCTGTTTAAATAAACATCTTTAAAACCAGTAATATAATGCCTATAAACGTGCAGAGTGTGTCGGCACCACTCCGACCTCCACGCATTGACACAATATGCACATTTGCGCAGTCCTATTTATTTCATTTCTACATAGGTTAAAAGCACGCGACAAATCATCACAGCAGTGGAAAAACTGACCCAATAAATGACAAAGCAGCCTACTCACCTAGTTGCTGATCTCGATCTCCTCATCTAATTCACTGTCTGTTGCAGCAGAATGCCTTTAATCACCTGTACTAAGTGGTCTGTGCTTCTCATTGCAATGTTGTGCTCGGCTAAAAAGCCACATAGCTTGATTTCAGCATTTTTCACATCATTTTCAAACTTCTCTTTTTCATCAGTTTGCTGGAGACATTTAAGAATAGATGTCTGGTTTGGCGCAATGCATTTTACCCTTTCTTTTTGTTTAGCTCCCTTTGCGTGATTCTTGAGAACGGTGATTTCTGATACCATCTGGCTGTTGCAGCAACGACAGAAAGCCTTGGTTTCGTTCCCCGTAACAGGTGCAAGCCATCCTTTGAAAATAGGGTCCAACTCCCACGCAGAACGATAAACTTGTGTCCAGTGTTGCTTTGCTTTACCTTCATCCGTCCCTTCTCTGGTTAGAAGCCATTGTCTCGTCGCTCTGTCCTCCTAGATTAGACTTAACTCGGCGCGCTCGCAGGCGAACAGCAAAAACTGGCGGGCCACTGCCACATTATATAACCTTACAGTTTCTCGCGAGAGTAGGCCCTATCGATGTGATTGCGCTATTGATTGTACAGATCCAGAGTCAGTTTTTGTAATAGAGACAATAGCATAAACCTGTAAGCACTGAGGTGAAATCTGACTTCAGAAAAGTTTAAAATTATGTAATTGACTTGGGAAAGCCACAGCAAAAGATAGTGTTACTAGATGCAATGTGAAATTGTCGTACATTTGAGAATTTTTGAAACTATTGATCGTACATCATACAGAGCCCAAAATTATGGTTCAAATACGATAATTATCGTACATCTGGCAACACTGGACCTGTAGGCATCCTTTTTCCACTTTCTCTCAGAGGCTCTGCACGCCCGCCTACAAGCCCGTGTGACATCAGAGAGCCAAGGCTCCCTCCTAGGCCGAGACTTGCAAAGTTTGAGAGGGGCAACCACGTCCAGGACCTGATTACAAAGTAAATCAAAGTGTTGTGAATAGTGTTCAGTGCTGGATGGATCAGGGTTAAAGGTCTCTAACCTTACAGACATACAGTCCACAAACTTTGAAATAGTTTCTGTATCCAGGGCTCCGAACCTAGTAGCGAGAGCTTCACACACAGGGACAGGACATGGCAACGTAACATCACAGAGTATAGGAGAGTGGTCAGAGAACACAGGAGGCAAAGTCACAAGGTTCATGAAGGGGAGGCCAAAAGAGAGAACCAGGTCCAGGGTGTGACCCCTGGCATGAGTTGGGGATGATACCCATTGAGTTAGATTGAATGAATCTAGCAAATTAAAAAAAACCTTTAGCAAGCACATTGTGAGGACAGCAGATATGGATGTTAAAATCACCAAAAAATAAGACATAGTCATATTTTAGGATGCAGTCTGCCACAAGATCACAGAAATCATTAAGGAAGTTAGAGTCAATCTAAGTCTTAGAATGAGACATCCGTACAGATCCAGACTGCCAGGTCCTCGGACCCCCCTTTTGGTGCCGGAGCCGGTGAAACAGCATCAGCAGTACGACAGACTAGTCTTTCGATTGTCTCCAGGTAAAAAGCGACAGTTGGTTGACAGCGTCAGATGGACCCGGAGGGTCAGTGAGTTCAGCTTTTATTCTGAAGGGAACCGTTGCTTGGTTGGTAAAATGCAACAGATTTTATCCAGCTTGTTGGTTCTTTGCTTAAAGACGTGGTAATGTCCCACTCAGAGTCTTACTCCACCCACGTATCAATTTTAAAAACTGCAACATTAGTAGGCGTTGCCTGGAGGACCGAGAGGGCGGAGCCGCGGCAGTGACGAAGACGATGGCTAACTAGACGATGCTAGCTCCCTTCACTCTGAGCAGTTATTAGAAGTGGAGGACGTTTCTCCCCCTCCTTACCCAGACACTCGAGAAGAAAGGGACCAAGTCCATTTGGAGGAGACAAGCAGACCTGAGCCTTATTGTTTTGAGCTTGTGAGTTGCCTGAAATTACCGGAACCGACCCAACAGAACCAGCTCTGAATGTTAAGTAGCCGTTAGCCATAGCATCAGATTAGCTGCAGGGTTTTGCTCCACGGCCCAAGAGAGCTAGTATTCAGCATGCTTTAGAGGTTTATCTGCTTCAACACACCTGGTTTTAATCAGCAACAAATAGCTGAGCTGCTTAACAGCTAATCTAACCTGTTAAAGCAGGAAAACCACTGAAACGTGCTGGATAGCAGCTCTCCAGGAGTCCTGGGCTCAAGTTACAGTCTGCTGCATAGAAAGTTATGAAAATACCCCATGAGAAAATTATTCTGTAATGTGTTCAGCTCACTAAAACTGCCCTGATTTATTTATTTACTGATACTAGCTGCTCTTGGTTGCAGGTGATCCTCTGGTGTCTGCAGGTGGTCTCCTCTTCTGGTGTCGTCAGGATCAGGAGCTTCCAGAAGAATGTGCCTTTCAATGACTCTTTCCCCCTTATTTGTTATATTAATTAAATAAATCTCAATTTATATATTTCCTGTTTTTGTTCATGTCCATGAATACTTAAACATGCTTGAAATTAAAACGAGCTTTTAACAGTGAGGTGCTAGTTTAATTCATCACAATAGAGCTAGTTAAACATGCAACAATGTGATAATTCAATTAATGTAACTTATAAATATTCATTTAAGTATCAAAACTGGAATCAAAATGAGAAATTTGGCAGCACAAAAAACTTGTCAAACACAATATTTATTATAATAATTGTAGGCAGACAGGAGACAGAGCTGATGGAGGTTCTCAGTCATCGAAGGATGGCTGAAGGCTTTCCAGGAACAGGAGATGTGGTGTTGTCTCTTCTCTCTCTATTCTGTCAGATGAGCTGATAGGTTACAGGTGTGTGAGGACATCCTCATGCTGTCATAACCAGATGACATGAGTTATCAGGTGATCAGCCAGGCTAATGATGAGATGCAGAAAGAAAACAAATCCAGGACAGTGTACAATAATAACAATAATATGTGGTGTTGCTCACCTTATGTGCTCTTATAGAGTATTAACATGTGCCTGCCTCATGGTGTAGAGTCCATATTTTGCTGAGTGTCCTGCAATAATGCATGTTATTAGTTAATTTACTTTTGATAGCAAAGAACAAAATATTTAATGTAAAAGTTATTTACCAGGTGAATCAGCTCACACGTCACCACCAAGTGTCACAGGGCCAGAATCAGTAGCCTCCTTCATGATGTAATCACATACGTTTATGTAATTGTTAATATCTTAAAAATTCTGAAATGTTTACATTTTTTTTTACCTTGAACAGTTCACTGAGCTTGCACTGTCACTGAGGTGGAAGCTGGAATTAACAGCAGACACCTCACATCTTGGTCTTTTCAGGGGTGTGGACGCTGCTCTGGGACTTTCTGGAAGATGAATTTCCGTCAATATACAGAACGTAGTAGGTAAAAGGTCGTTTAAGGAGTTACATAATAGGGAACAAACAATAATAACGAGATTGAGATTAGGACATTCGGGATTGAACAGCACTTTGCATATTTTGGGAAAACATCAAACAGGTTTTTGTGATTGTGGGACACAACAGGAAACGGTAGAACATGTTTTGTGTTTTTGTAGTAAGTTTGATGTAATTAGGGGTGAATTTATAGATAGGTTGAAAGATAAAGGATGTGGCATTTGGAATTTGAGAACGTTGTTGAATGGCAGTGGGTCCAATTATAAGATGGTGCTGGAGTTTCTTAGGAAAATTAAGGTATTTAGTAGAATTTAGTTTTTTATTATTTTATATATATACTGTATATATATATATATATTTTTTTTCTCCTCGCTCTGACTCACACTCCTGCACAGTAGGTGGCGGTAATGCACCTTAAGTTGGTTGCCACCCGCCATTTAAACCGGAAAGGAAGAAGAAGAAGAATTTCCGTCATGGTCCCTGTATCACAAGACACACTGTGGCTGTGAGCTCTATAAAAAACAAAGAAACAGCACATTTATAAATGTTTAAAAGAGCATAAAATCATGTGTAACAATAATCTGTAAAACAAATTAAAACTAGAAGGTAATAAAATGTTAACATAGAAGATTATTAAAAATAATTCACCTTTGCTACGGGTAAGGCGTCACGTCAGCCTGGACAAGTTCATTCTTGCAGATTACTAAATCAGTCTGACAGCCAGTGTCTTGGGCAGATTTAGCCTGAAAAAAAAAATAGAAGCACACTGTTGTTGTTTATAAAGTCAGATAATATACAAAAGAAACTGTCCTATATAGGCGCTTTATAACATTCCTAGTGTGTGATCGTTATTATAACGTAAAAGTCAGTCACATATGATGTGGAGAGCATGAAATGCGACCTCCTGAACAGAATTCCTCACGGAACCGGGTCACAAGCTGGATTTCACGCTGTAATGATGTCTGTCAACTAGTGCTGCATTAGTTAGAGTCACTGTTGCAGAATTGCCGACTGACACAAAAGCAACCCGAATTTTCTCCGAGCCTGACAGCCATGTGGACTGTTTTGTCAGCCAGGGCTTCGAGATATGTTCCGATTCGCCGCTGATCCTAACCTTACATCCCGTTCCACATTTTGTGAACTTGACAAATCTGCCCGAAGGCAGTGCAGGCTGATATTAGCTAAATGGAGTGAACCACGTCTCTCAAACTTTGCATTTAGGTAGGAAATTGTCTTTAGAAGATGTTAACTTTTATTTAGCTTACTCACCTCAGACTGGAGCCCGTCATGGTGGGGGAGCAGAGTCGCTGGGCTGCATCTAAATCGCGGAAGAGCCACGGTGGGCATTGCCTCCCTCTTCAAACGGAGACGTGCAGAATCGTGGGTAAAATGCTGGTTGCAAACTACAGCACCAGGCGGGAGCTGAATGTTTTCCAGACACCGATTGCACGCAACCACTGGCGCCTAATTTCTAAGTCCAGCGGAAAGGAGTGCAACCCCACAGAGCCACCGCAACCATACTACAATACACCGTCTCACCATACAACACGATATGGAGCACTAAACCCGAACTACTTTCCCAATTACACTAACAGCCAAACACTAACTAAACTACACTATCCAACAGCCAGAGGCGGAGCTGGCCTAAATGGCGACCTGTGCGAGATCCCCCTGTGACCCCCCCCCCCCCCCCCCCCCCCCCCCCGACGCCCCCCCTACCAGCTCGCCACTTCAATATGAAGAAGATCAGTTCAACATGGGGGAAAAAAACCTGACCTGTAGGCCAGAGAAACGTTCATTAGCACATCAAGTTCGATTCAGTTTACCGGTAAACATATCACGAATGTACAACAGGTCAATTATTAATCATCTTGGCTACGTAGCTCAATCTATACATTCCAGTAGCGTTTGCTACAAACAAATACAAAAACAACAATAAAGGAAAACAACTGTCTGACAGACAGCATAGCCGAATTCAAGGCAACACATAACAATAATCATTCGATTGCTCTTGGTTTCAAGTTAAGCCCATTAAAGTGCTTAAGTAAATAAAAGTGTTTCAAAAACAGCGTTTTTGAACCGGAGTTCTGCTCGCGGTGGGAACTCCGCCGAAAAAGGTCATTTTTTATAGCAAAAATGATCGACTGGTCACTGACAAGTAAAAGGGTGTTATTGGTAGATGTTAAGAACACTTACCGCTGAGGTAAAATGAGAGTATAAATGAATTGAGGGGAGAAAAATGCTTTGTTTTCCAACGCCGTTCTAAAGCAACAAGCTTACAGCCACAGCAGGAGTCGAGCCCACAGTCAGCTTTGCCGCGACGTGGAAGGAGCCAATCAGGAGAGGGACCTCACAACAGCTGACGTGGGTCATGTGACAGGGAGTAGTTAATATGGGTTACACTTTGTTGTGCTTTTATTACAGAGATATTATTATTATCATCACTATTATTATTAAGAACATGCAATTTCTATGTTTTGTTTATGTATTGGTTGATGCTAAAAAAAATTTTTTTAGAAAAAAATAAAAAAAAGGAAATTAAATGCCGCCCCCTGCAGACTGCCGCCCTGTTCGGCCGCACATGTTGCACATATCAAGCTCCGCCACTGCCAACAGCCAAGCTAACACTAAATAAGTATGTATAACACTAAAGGCTACGCTAAAGACTAGGATATGCTAATGCTATATGCTACACTCGCTTGCAAATCCAACTCCCAACTCGCCACAAGGCGTGGCCGAGACGCTCGTTGCTTTATAACTTTGACACAGAGCTGCTACGTAGTACTCTACTGGTTTACCTAGTATCTTACTCTTTAGCCATTGGCTAAAATTTATTGAAAATGAGTCAAATTCTATGTTTTAAGCTGAAGGTGGAGCTATACTGTGGTATTTAGGCAGAATTTTTAATTTTTAAAGAAAATGCACCAAAATGCTAAAATAATGAACACACACATTTAAAACACTATTAGACACTCATTTATACAGTTCATCAGCAAAAAAAAGTTAATTTAGACGTTACTTGCTCTTTATAAAGAAAGTCCGGGTGCAGTGAACTGTAGAGAACTCAGAGAACTGAACTAAGATGGCGTGGGGACTGGTTTTATTAATCTGGATGTTTTGATTTATGGACGAATCAAAGTTTGCAGATTTATAAACACCACAGAGACTATGCCACGCTTTCAGAAAGGAAGGTTCCGATTGGATGAGTAAAAGCAATGTGTCATGTGTCAGATTAACCTATGAGGCTTAGATCATATATAAATATCCCAGATACTTATATATCGATCTAAGTTCATACACCAACCTGTTTGGTCTAATTTCAATCCAAAGATTAACGTTTAATTTGAATAGTTATAGTTTATAGCAAAAGTTTATTTTTGAATCAGAAGCTAGGATCTTTGCTTTACAATAACCAGAAATATTATACATTTTCTGTGTTTCGTTTCAATAATGAGGCAAGTTTAAAAATAAAGAAATTTATTACTAACAGTTTTAAACTTAAAGATTTGAAACGACAATTATAAACGACAATTTATGGATGACAATTTAATGACAATTTTTAACAGCTTTGATATTAAACTTGTTTAAAAAAGGCAAACCTGTGGCTGGATGGAAGCTAAATTGGAAATACGACTTTGGATGCGTGACTGGAATTATCAGAAGATTTCTTTCAGAGGGAGATAAAGCGTTCTGGATGGAAATGATGTTTTGCAGCTAACTGTTGTTTACTTAGAGAGAACAGCATCAAACGTCATCTGTCCATTAGTGTCTACCTCACCCAGTTTCCGGAGACCCCCTTTCGGATCCAAGATGTCAAGTGGAGATGATTTCCTCCGGGCACGAGGATGGTAGAAGGACCTCTATGCGACCAAATCAGTCCTGGGTTGTCTCCATGGGTCACACGACTGATGAACTATTGGCGTCTCAAAGTCCGTAACTCTGACGGAGTTTTTTGTCTTAACTTAACTCAAAAATCAACAACTCTGTAAGGAGTTTTCGTCTGCTGGTTAAGGTTTCGTTTATTCTTAGCTATTCTTGTCAGCGTGACAGAACAGCTTGGCAGAGGTTAGGGATGGCCGTTCCCTTCCTCAGTGATGTTGGTTCAAGAACTAAACTGAAGCTGGTGATGGTTAGTTTACCAAGCTCTCAGGACACTCCCACTCTCTCCCCAGAAAAGCTTTGATCATGCGTCAAAAACATGTGTTGCAGTTATCGTTTATCTGGACTCTGTGTTAGATGGATAAGGTGAACTGACCTTCTTTGCTGAGCACATCTTTTACTGTCATCAACCATAATCATAATTAATTATTATTATACCCAAAGCATAATAATTCATTTCATGTAATTAAAATACATTTATACTGAAGCAAGTGATCATTTATGATGGTTATAATAAACAGTAATAAAGTCAATGAGTTTTATTAATATTATTATCTAATTATTATCATTGTGAACTTGAAGTGTCCTCCCCCTGGGACGGAACAGCAGCAGATAGGTGATATGTTCTTCCAGACATCATGGCTCCTTGGTTAATCTGTGGATTTAAAAGTGCTGTTTGACCCTGCTTGACCCAGTTGGGTAAATGTGACCTTTGCCACAAATTAGAGGACCTTGATGATGCTACAATTCACAATACAAACAAGTTTTTAATCGTTGTACTTTCTTAAAAAATGAAAGTGAAACTTAAAGAACAATTTGGATGTGTTTTCTTCTAATTTTAATGCTTTCTTGATTTCCACCCCCTTTTTTCTTATTTTAATGCTTTTCTGAAAAGTATCGGATCGGGACTCGGTATCGGCAGATACTCAAAATCAAATGACTCGGAATCGGATCGGGAGCAAAAAAAACATGATTGGAACATTCCTAGTGCACATATGAAATGCACTGAGTGACAATAAACATATTACAAAGGCCTGGT